ATTTCAGTGCTGTTCTTCCTTTACAGAAAGGATGTACAAGTGCTGATCTGAAAGTAATGCCTTCTATTTCACCACGTTGGCCCATGACATCAGATAGTGATATTGGTGTTGTGGCAGTAGAGATTGAATCTTCCTGCTGGTATTGCATTACATTTTATTCCTGTGTGATAGATGGTAGCAGAGGGGCAGTCTGACAGAATGGCGACTGATGTGGAAGTGTGTATGAAGCAAAGATGTGTCACTGAATTACTCGATGCAGAAAAAATTGCATCTACTGACATTCATCAACACTTCCTGAATGCTTATGGAGACCAAACAATGGATATGAACACAGTGAGGCAATGGCTAGGAAAACTGTGAAACAGTGGGTCATCTCCACTGGCACAGGAACTTGTTCTTGGCTGGCAAAAATAATTAGCTAAGCATGGTGCCTATGTTGAAACACAGTGTTTTGTAGCTGATAATTTGTTCTATTGGTGTTATTGTGCTCTTTGTATCTATTGTAGTTTCCACAGGCATTACTTCTGGAGTAACCTACGTATTAAGTTTGAAAAAAACTCAAGGAAAACAAGAATTACCAAAGAAATGAAACAGTTTCCCTGTCAGCAGTGACTGAGGGGCTGGGATTCCTCAGCCTGGAAAAGGGAGGAGTTAACAGATGGAACAGAACAGCATAAAAGCCAGATTACAAACATGCAAAATGATACTGTTGCCATACACAGGATGGTAGGTTCATAGAAAATTTTATGGAATTCTGTGCCAAATTATGTCGTAAAAAAGATTCTTATGAGAAAGATTCTCAGAAGAAAGGTTCATTACAGGCCACTAAGTGGACAATGCACACCTGGATCAAGAAAGTCTCAAAACTGAAGATAATTGGAAGTTGGAAAATCAGTAGAAAGTATCATACATACTTATTCTGTACCTGCCTTTTCATGTCTTTCTCTGAATCTGAGCCAATACAACACCTCTATGGTCTAATGCTTTAATATTTATGTATTATTATTAACTATTATTTTTTTATTATATAGCTAAATTATATACACTTAACAGACAAAGAAAATATTGCTTATTTGATGAGCTTGCTGCCTGAATATCAAATAAAATTATATTAAAATGAAAATTTTAAATAAAAATTCTTACTATTCCTTTTAGCTTTTTTAATAGCTTTTATGTCTACAGGCTTCAATCTTGACTCAAAGTTCTACTACATCACATAAATCATAGAGAGAAAAACAATGCAAAAATGGAAATACTGAGTAATAAATAAATAATAGTAAATAATACTATTCCAAACAGATTTTGGAATGTAAGCATAGGACAAAAATCAGGGACGGCGATGACAGAACAGTAAAAGTTAACTGTGAGACAATAGGAGAGACAGTATCCATTGAACCTTACAACATATTTGGGAAGTGTGGTAGTACAAGGGTGTTTTGAGAGGAAACACAAACTGAGTTTGCAAGTATTTACGTGGAACACATTCTGAGTACGAAGGGTGCCTAGAAAAAAATGGTTGTCTTAAAATGTAACAGAGAACAGGAGGCAATACACTGTACAAAACAAATATGTATGTCAAATGTCATCTGCCATAAATAAATGGCAGGCAAAAGAAAGAGTAGTCTGTGAAGTGTATTGAAATCAGACCCAAGTAATTTATGACAGATGCAGCAGACGAGGGGAAATCACTGGAGGGATAAAATGGAAAAGGAACATGGTAGAAACTGAGAAAAAAAATCATTACAATAGATACGGCAACATCAGAATTGCATTTTCAAAAATCAGACAAAGGAATATTGATGTAAATGAGAAGGGAGATGAGCCTAGACATGACTTTTTGCTAAACAAGGAGATAGGAAAGCTGCAGCTAGATGTGTTTTGCACTGAATCTTTAAGACGTGCCTTTAGTGGCAGGATCTGCAGTGAGGTCTGTGTTGAGAATAATGTCCTTTGCGTGCACATGAGTGGCAGGGGTGGTGTCACTGTGACTGCAAAAGGAGATAAGTGACCAGGGGAAAGGAGGAAAGTCTCTGCTTTAGGTTTGTCAAGATTGAGATGACGAAGATTTACAAAATGGCATTTTTATTAAGTTAAAATAAGCAGTTGGTGAAGGAGCTGCAGGACTAAGACTCCACACAGAGGCTTGCTGAGGTCTGCATTTCAGCACTGGGAATAGAGAGTAGGAGTTGACTGCCTGTGAGCCTCCATTTGAGCATGGGCAACTTACACGAGATCTGTCTGCAGCAGAAATAGACAAATCCATCTTTGCCAATCCATGGGTTTAACACCTGCATCCCATACCAGCAAGTAAAAGGGAAAGTGGGGCAAAGCTCTATCTAAAAATGAAAGAAGACACACATTGCACTGTGTGACAGAGCTAAATGACAGCACTATTTCTAATATTTCTTAATGCTTGCAATCTTAACGCTTTGTTTATTTATTTATTTATTTATATTTCAGAAAGTTTTCTATTGCAAATGTGTATGACCAACTTTTACTTTTCTCAGATCTTTTACAACATGAGAACCATATAATCAACAAAATCCATAATTAATCAAATGAGGCTGAGACTGGCTTAAGGAGAGCATGAAATACTGGTGTACATGAAGGGAATATTGCTGGCAGTATTTGAATTACTTTATTCTTTCTTATTGTTCATAGACTATTGATGCTGGTTTTTCCTCTATTTGTGATTTAAAATAGCAAATATATCTGATTCAGTCTTTTTCTCTTTATATTTTGCCATAATATATGAGATAAAAGAGCAGAGATCACAGAGAGGTGCTTGCTGTAATGGTGCAGTTAAAGAGTGAAAGCTGGAACAATTCGCTTTGGGAAGGTACTTGAAAAGGTCAGTCTCCCTACTACAGATGGTGATGTTTTGATGGATAAAAAAAGAGTTTGCTGTTTGGATTTAGACAGGTAGGTCATGGCTTTAACTGTCTGCTCACTGACAGGAAAAAAAAAATAGATATAGTTCCTCATAATATTATTTCACCATTCACAGTTGATGGATGAGTTAAAAACATACCTTTTCTTCAGTTTATTCTCTAGGTGAGGAAATGTTGTATTATTGTATTTCTTCCTTTGAAAACATGACACTTTCATTAAACTAAAGATGATATTTTAAAGTCAATTTATGTGAATACAACCATATTCTCTCCTGATTTGGCATTGTATAACTCCCTCTAAAATTGTCTTTACAGAATCATGACAAAGATTCTTTTTTCTTAGGGCAAAAGTACAGTTAGAAGATATTATTTTCTCTCCTTCTGTAGCAGTTGAAGAGTTGCACTGAAATGGAAATTCAGACACCTGCTTTTGTAGTTGACTGTGCACTGAAGTACAGGCCTGGAGAGAACCATTAGAATGTGGAGATAATTGAAAGACCTGATGTATTTGACATGACCTGATATACTGAAGAATTTCTAGAAATTTTTTAGATGTTGTGCTAGTGATGGAGTTGCCATGACATTTTCATAGTGGATGTGCTATTTCAGCTCCTTGTAACTTTGCTCTAAAAATTACCTTTTAAGATAATTTCTTGTGTGTTTACAAGAATAGTATTCAAAGGTGCTAAACCGACACCTAAACACCATCTATTTAATTTGGGCATTTACAGTGCCCAGCTCCCAGCAGTGTGCCATTAACACCTTATTTCTTAAATCAGGAAGGCAGCTGCACATTTTCATACACTTGGCTATCTGCTGAGATTGACAAAGGTCAGACATTTCCTCTGAAGGCTTCTTTCATTTGGAGCATGAACTCTCCTTTCTTTTCCTGTTACGTGAAACGATCCAAATCAACTAAAGGAGGGTAAAATGTCTGAAGGGGTACTTATCATTCAATAGCTGCTTTAATAGCCAGAAGCTTCCACAGAATAATATCACAGACTGTGGTTTTTTTTTTTTTTTTTTTTTTTTTTTTTTTTAAGCTATTTTCTATGCTATACGTTTTATATACTTATTGAATTAGAAGGACTTGCTGCTAAGTCCTATCTTTGTAGTGCACAGAAGCTTGAGGAAACAGTGAATAAATATTAAGTACTTTACACTTGTATTTTTATTGATGTGTTGGTTCTATTTTTCTGTTGATGAATGAGAATGCGCAGGTAAGAATTGGAATAGTACTAGCATGACAAGCTAGTATTGAATCAAGCTGATTCAAAACCTGGAAGATCTATACTCTCTGATGTACATCTACTTCAACTTTCACATTAAGAGGAATTGAAAGATCTTCCACCACTCTTTCTCCACCTTTACCTGTAATCTTTCTGAGTTATCCTGTCAGATGTGGCTACATTTCCAGTATGAGCCCACAGATGAAATCCCTCTACTTGTCATATTAGGGTTGAAATTATATGTGAAGTGGGACGGGGATACCAATTAACAGGAAATAATAATAATAATAAAAACAACAGCCCAGGTGTGAAAAGCTAAGACATATGCAATCCCTAAGGAAACAGGAAGGTGATCAGAGTTTTGAAGGGAACACCAGATTGCCTGGGTAGAGAGTGTATTTGGGTAGGCATGATAGAACCAGAGTTAGGAATGATGTATTCAAAGGAGGAAGACTAACCACGTAAACTCTCTGGGTACTTGGCACCGCTGTTTAATAAAACAATCTTCCATACGGGGGAACCGAGGGACACCCTAGTGATTTTTGTTGAGATGCTCTTCTGCATCAGGATTTCGAAAGTCACCGTAAACGCGCACAGGACTCTGCCGGTCCGGACGGACGGACGGACGGACCACTCGACTCGCACCCAGCCCCGCGGAGCCCCCGCCCCCGCGACGCCGAGATGAAGCTCCTGGCTGCAACCGGGCGGACTACGGGCAGCACCCGCCTCCTCCTAGCCTTCACCTCGCTACGCGCAGGCGCAGCGCCTTCGCACATGCGCTGTTGGGTCGGCGACGGGCGAGCGAGGGTCTGCATCCGGGTCGCCGCCGTGCCGCCGCCGTGCCCATTGTCTGGGGAGGGGGTCCGAGGCTCAGCGGTCCGCGCCCGAGGGGCTGAGGCGGCGCCGCGCTGCCGCCGCCTGGACACGTTCCCAGTCGCCGCCGCTCACCTGCATAGCCTTTAGTAAGTGCTTCTCAGCGGCTTCTACCGCCCCTTCCCCGGGGAGAGCGCGGAGGCGCTCGGCGGGACGGGGGCAGCCCAGCGTCTCTCCGGGATGTCGGGCGGGTCGGGTCCTCCTTCTGCCGTGCCGTATCTCCGGCGCTGGATGGCGGAACGCCTGGAGGTGCTGCAGGGAAGCGGCTCCCTTCGCCAGCCCGGGCCCGGGGTGGTGCCGGTGCCGGCTATACGAGGTGCCCGGGGTGTGAGTGGTTCCCCCGTCCCTGGCACGGTGAAGCCGGTGCCGGCAGCACTCGTGTGCGGGCTGCCCCGTCGGGTTAACGCCGCACGTCTAAGCACGCTGCGTGTTCATTGTGCTGTCTAATAGGAGTACTATGCTTCTTTCTGCAGTGGATCGCAGCTCGAAGAGGAGACAAGTGAAGCCTCTGGCGGCTTCCCTGCTGGAAGCTTTAGATTATGATAGCTCTGATGACAGTGATTTTAAAGTTGGAGATGCTTCAGGTAAATATATTTCCTCATCGCCTCTGTTGAGAATTACTTCATTTTTGTTTTAGGGTTGCTTGTTTAATGTCACGCAGGAGATAGAGTGGTATTAGTGAGCTGCTGGGACGAGGGGCTGGAAGGGCTTCAGTTGCATAACTGGAGATTCCATGCTGCAGATAGGAAACAACTGATCAAGTAAAACATACAGTGCTGCCTTTGAACATAAATTTTTCACAGTGGAAAACTCTCTTATCAAATAAGTTTTGGCAGAAGCATTTCAGCAGTTTCTGTGCTGATTGTCATGGCTATTTCTGTTGCTTTTTATTTCCTCAGTCAAAAGACAGCTTTGGGAACTTTAGCTTCTTTTGGTATTGGAGTAACTGCTGTAAAGCCGTTTTGTTTTGAATAAGTCTGGATAGTAATTTGTTGAGGACTGAGGAACCTGCCTGACTTCTCAAGGGTAATTCCACTCTGAGTGAACATCTTAAACAGAAAGATAATCTCTTCAAGTTTTTATTCTATATTATTATTGTTAATATTTTTTACAACAGACTTAGGATGTCTTCTGTGATAGTTGTGTAGAAAGATGTAAGCATTTCATACCAGAAGTCCTTGCTTTGGGATGTGTTCTTGTAGTGTTCTTCTCTGTGCGTTCCTCAATCTGAATGAACATTCACAGAAACTGAAAGTAGACAAGATGCTGAATAAATTGAGCTCTCCTGGAGAGAGAGAGGAGGGGGAGAAAAGGGGCAGGACTCTGTTTGTTAAAAGCTGCATGGTGGATGTTTTACGTCATGCTCAGGGAAACGGGCAAAGAAAAGCAGTGTATTTAAGCTATAAGGGAAGCATTATGACACCTTGCCAAAGAACTGTACTTTCTTCGTTCTGCACTGGAGATGTTGATCTATGTTTTCATCTGACTTCATCTTGCAAAAATATTCCCCATCTCCTTGTAATTATGTCTTTTTTTTTTTTTCAATTATCTATGAAGATCTTGTGTATTAATGAACTTGAGAAGAGCTCAGTGGTCATTTCACCAGTACCAGTTCTGTGTGAAGTTTTGAAGGCTTTTCTTGTTTGCTTCTATAATACTGCTTTGGGATTTTGTTTTAAATCCCTCCTTTAGGTCCCAAATAAAATCTCTCCATTTTGCATTAGAAACGTAGGTTGCGTTTGAAGGAAAAAGAAATACAATATGGAACGTGGACATGTAATCCAGAGCAATGTATTATTTGATAAGAAAGCTGTCATTCATTACTTAAAAGTCTCAACTTTGGATGGATGGAAAGGACTATTTTGTTGTTGATTTTTCAACTTTCAGAGTATGTATGTGTGCAAGGGGGAACAGTGTCCACCTCAGAGTGGTTCAACTTCAGTTGCATTTTGAGGAAGTTGAATCTCTTTTAAAGCCACTGAATGGACTTAACTGTATAATTGGAAAAACCCAATGGGTTACTCTTTTGTGTTTGAATATCTTATTTGACTTCCTTTTGCATAACATTAAGTGAAAATGTTTTTGAAACAACAGTGTTGGATGTTTTTCACTTTTTTTTTTCTTCAAACATTGTCTTTAGTGTGGAAAAAAAACTTTGTGAGGATTTGGAGGAGTTGGGATTTGGAGGAGTAGGAAGTTATTAAATGTATAGTATCTTAAACTGAATGAGAAGTTGTTGTTGTACAGATCATTTGGATAGCTGCAGAATATTTGACATAGGGCATCTGTGATGATTTCAAAAGAGGTTGGTATAAAATACCCTTACGTTTGTTTGTACTTAATCCATTTCATGTAAGTGGAAGACGTACTAAAACAAAGGCACTTAGATAAATAAAATTGATCACTTCAAAGTTTGTATGTATGTATGTATACTATGTTTGTAGGGGAAAAAAAATGGTGTGCACAGAAACACACCCACCAGACAAATTCTGGATTGCTGTTGATAGGATACTGATAGACAACATATTTTCCTTTTGCTCTCTGCAGGATTTAGTCTTCAAAGCATAGTATGTAGTTCTCCACTAGAGTCAAGGTTGTTGCTCTTTTCCTTCTTTCAGTGGGCTCCATGTGCAGCCTGTTGCAAATCATGGTCTGTATACATACAGTATTTAGTGGTTCTTTGAGTTCAGAATTTCACTGCACAATTTGCTTATAGAGGGGATTAAATAAATAGGGGCACAGGTGATCTTTCTACATTGTAAATTACCACTAAGTCTACTTACGGCTCAAAAAGATTCCTTATCTGTGTTAATTTTATTGCTCTGCATTGCGTGTTTTATTTGAGTCATAAATATGTCTATAAGTAGCAATTTTTAAATTAAAAAAGAAGCAAATTTGACAGCTAAAGGTTCAAGGACTATCTAGACTATCTAAACACTGAATTAAAATTGTTCTGAAGTTGTTTACTCCCTGCTGATTTTGTTGCATCCATATGTATGAGCTTAAGGATTTTAAGTGATATGTGGGAGTAGATGATAATGTGCAAGTCTAGGAGGACTGAACCCTCAACATTAAAACTTCTATGCATGTTCTATCAGATGTCAGGGAATATGTGATGCAGTAAGGATTTGATAAGTTGATGTTTGGTATTTATAGGAAGGAATTGTAATTGCTGAATTTTGTATTCAGGATCTTGATGTCTCAGTGACTCTTTCATTACAGGAAGTATATTTAATAGCCTAGCATCCATTTTCATTGCAAAACCTTCAGTAGGAAATATGCCCTTTACTTACTGTGTTATTTTCTTATGGGTTTATGTTACACTAACAGCAATTATTGACTTTTCTATTCCAAAGAAAAATTATAACATTAGTTTAAAGGAATTGATTTTAGCGCTGTTATGTTATTGTCAAATTATTTAATAGAAATAATTTCAGGCCTGTTGGCTTTGTATTATTTTAATGCTAAGTAATTATTTTTTTTTCCCAGCTCCTCTTTCATTGTTTCTTCATTAATTGCTTCTAAAGTTGTTCCTTGAACAAGCACGATACGTGAATTTAAGGACTGAACCTCTTTTTCAGTGTAACTAAGAAAAGTGTAGTTGAATTCAGCCTTAAGGAGCTGAATTCAGTCATTACTTCTGCTAAAAGTCCCCTGGACTTTCATTTTTAGGGGCATTTTATAAATGTTTGGGATCTTTTCTTTTGTGTTGAGCATAAAGACTGACTTGCAGAAATACCATGTACTGTTATTCTCACTGAGGTCGATAGGAGCTCTGTTTAAATCATGTGATGATTTATATAAATGCATCTATTAGGTGTTCTGAAACACTTGTATTTGCAACTTTTGATTTCTCTGTCTTTCTATAATTTGTTTCCTCTTCCACTGTTTCTTTCCTGTGCAGGATGTTGTCATATGAAAAGGTTTGCAGAGCATCAAATTGCAGTTGTGATAAACACAACTGAAATACAGATGAAGAAACTAAAGAGTTTTGTTTTTGAGAATGAACTTGGGGAATGTTTTTGCAGACAGAGAGGACAAGATAATTTACTTAGTGATTAGCTCTGCTGCATTTTTTTTTTTTTTTTTTCCAAGTAATTGCACAATATTAGTTATTGTAATTGAATTTGAAGACTTAACTTTGCAGCCTTGCTGTGTGTTAGCTGTATACGATAGCTATATGCTATACTACATATAACTGTCTACCAATCAGGGGTATTTTGGAGTGACTGACTGGTGTTTTGATCTGATGTTTTCTTTGGAAGTGCTGAGACTCGTGTTATTCTTTGTGTGTCCTGACAGTCATCATGGCTTTCATTCTGGTAACTTAAGGGTTTTATGATGATGTAACATTGTTTTTCTTTGTTTCCTCCTGCTGTGACTTTTGCGTCTTGTCTTTGAAGTAATGGTTACAAAACCATTGCTCGTACAAAACCTTGTACTTGTTCATTAAGACAGAATGCAAATTTGAATTCATGGTCTCCTACTTAGCTATTTAATACTTCTAATTTACTATCTCTTGCATCTCCTCTTTTTTGTGTGTGCATGTATGCCTGTCTTGTGTATTTTGTGCTGCTTAGCTTCTGAGCTTCATTAACTCAGTGGGATGGACTGTTTACAGTGTGTCCACTTCTCAGGGAAGATACGGTGTTTCAATTGTCAGCCATGTACTTGTGGCAGTGCCTAAGAGACTTAGTCTCCATTTATCATGTCCCTCTTTCAAGAGGTCAAACTCCTAGGAATCCAACTGTATGGAATATCATGGAATATTTAGCAGTGAAAGTTTGCTGAGAGAAGTCATGGGGCATATAATCCAATTCATCCAAATGAGTAAAGTTCAAAAGACAGTTCAAAGTTCAAAGACTAAGCCTGAAAGTGGGAAATGTCAAGTGAATTCAAGAGGTTGGGTAACTGATTCCATCTGTCTTGCTGAAGTCTGAGGCAGTTGAGGCAGTGCCTATGGACTCAATACAAAGTTAGCTTGAAGTTTTGAGTGCTTTTAAGATTTGAATAGATATCTGTGAAGATGCTGTGATATCACTGCTGCTAGTGTAGAAGTGAGAAAATTGCTTATTAAAAACCTTTGTTTCTCCTTTTTTTTTTTCTTCTTTTTCTTTCTATTAAATAAATACATCTTCTGAAATGATTGTAACAGTGGGTAATTGTTTTCATTTCCTGGACTTCCAGCCTCCATGTGTGGTTAGAAATTTTTTTTCATCTCTTCTTTTAGAAATAAACTTCCCACCTCAGAACAGTAGTATCCTAATTGGTTGTGATTTTTGTTCTTTATGTTTACTATGTTTGTTCATATGGTTCCAATTTTTTAATTGCTAGCATTACAGTATTGAATTGCCAATTGCCTACCTGGGTTTGAATATTTAAAGTAACTCTACCTTCATCTTTTACGCAGTAGTTTAAAAAAGCCAGTGTCATAACGTCGAAAAAGAGAATCTAGGTTTATGTTCAAAATGAAGTGTTAAGTCACTTCCATTGCTGCTTTCACTATAGCTTTGGGTTATCAGTTTGAGCACAGTGAAGCTGTATGATTTAATTCTAATAGATAACTGTGGTCAAGAGTTTACCAGTTACATAACACTGCCTATGGCAATGCGAAAGTTCATTTTAATTTTCATGTATGGTCTGGTTTTCCTTGACTTCTTACATTGCATTATTAATATTAGAGTTTTGTCATTAGTTTAAATGTTTCTTTAAGGTATTTTGGAATCTTCAATATTAATTTTAGTTTCTAGTTCATGTATTTTGGAAATACAGCTGCTTTTACCCGTGCCTGATATAGCACATGTGAGCAGCTTGACTGTGGGCTTGTAGGTGTTGTAAAGTGTGATTCTAGCAGAGATATCTAGGTAATTTCTCAACTTCATGTAGAGGATTTGTTGTTTACCTTGTGACTGGGAGAAAAAGTCTACTAAGTTACTGATTATAGTTACAGTAATTCAACTGTTTTTACCTCCAAAGAAATGAACCTCTCCTGTAGCCCTTTTGTTGTTTTTGTTGCTGTTTTGTTACTGTCTTCATAAAGGGGATGGTCTGAAGCATACTGCTAGATATGCTAGATGACAAAAAAAAAAAAAAAAAAAAAAAAATGCCAGATGCTTCTTTTCTATTATCTGAAATTGGTTAGGCTTTGCCAGTGTAAGAGGCAAGACCAAAATTGAGTCTATGACGTCTTTTAGCTAGCTTATCCTTCAAACTGCTTTTTACAGAGCTGTTTGATAAGCTTAACACTACACTGAAGAATCAACCTGTCTTCTCTGAGTGAGTAGCCTTCTATTTCAGTAGTGTAGCACACACTCTCAAGTATGTACGGATTTTCTTAGACTGGGTAGTGTTCAGTTGCCTGCAAAAATGGACCTACAAAAATCCTGGTGTTTGTTTTTAAACTGCTGTAAGATACTGTAGTTTGTAACTATAGTAACTGTTTGTAACTGCTGAAAGATACTGTAGTATCTTTCCTCTGAAGTCTTGAGCACAGCGTGTGTTTGAATACTGCTGATGTGGAGCTGCTTTTGTTTACCTTTGTTTACCTTCATTATACTTTTTCTGATGTTAATTCTGGTGCATAATGGAGATTATATACTGGAGAATTTCTCAGTTACTGCTTCAGGGTGTGAGTGCCACCTGCTCCTGTGCTCAGCAGTTAAAGCTACAATTTGTACAGAAGTAAACATACCATTATCTCTAATATTTGTTCTCAGCAGAACTCTGTATTCTTCGCTATTTGACAGTGTATCTGGCCTAACCTTTTACTGAGAGTAGCTTGACTCTTTTCCGTAGGAGATGACATAATGTGGTTGCCAATTTGAAAGAGCCATTCTTTAAGAATTTCTTTCAAGGAGAAAATTGTATGCTACAGTCTCTTTCTAACTGAAAGTGCATCTGACAGAAGAACTGCTACAAAAATAGCTGTTATCACAGAACCGTTCTTTTTAGAGAAATACCTATCACAGTGGATGCATTCAAATAGAGATATCCTTTAGTATAGGTATCTCTGGTACGTGCATGCATGCAGATAGAAAATACAAAATGTAACATGCAGTCAAAAGAGAGAATTTGAAGGTGCGAAGTGAATGAAACTGAAGTTTATTTGTTCTCTGCTTTATACTGTTTGTATGGCATATGGCAGTTAGAGAGTATTCTTAGTGCAGCAGTATGGATGTACAAAATTCACTGTTGGTCAATAGGGTGTTATTACAAAGGAAATAATTCTCAAACAAAAATTCCACCCCAAAAATGAAGTGGAAGCTTAAATTTCCAAGAAATCTAAGCCTGTTCAGAAATGCAACCACACAAAGTGTCCAGAAATCTTAAATTACTGTTTTGATACAATATTGATATAATATATGCGTGTACGTATTATAAGGTAATAAGAGCTTGTGAAAATAATTGTAGCATTGCAAGCTTCGTACTGCTTTGACACATTGTCAGTAGAAGCCTGTAATACAAAAATTTGGTATCAAACATCCATCTGGCATTTAATCTGTAGCATAAATGCCTAGTGGAATACTCTAACTTTGACTTACCTTTAGAGTGGTCATGAGATCTGGCAAATAGGAATCCAAAGAAAGCTACTATAACGTAAGAATTATTTCCTATACTGCATTTCAGTTAATATTGCTTTTCTTGCCTAGAAAGTATTTCACTATTTCAAAATTTGAGTTAGTTATGCTTCTACTTCAGGTACCATTATTAAGGCTGGTAGGGGAGGGGCGGGCATTACTAAATTACTCTTTGAGTAAAAGACTTTAATAAAACTTCCTTTTTTATCAGCTTGTAAGGGGCCTGTTGTTCACCTGGTAGCAGTAGTGTTCTGATCAGTAGTGGTAGCACCGATGTACTTTCTCATGTTGATAATTATATGATCCCCTTATCAGATTCTTTCTGCTTCCACATATGGGTATACCCATAAAACCAAAATTGACCAATATATTCATGTAACAGGTGAATAACCGGTCAGTCATATTCTGTGGATGGGAATATGTAGCATGTGTGAAGTGTGCAGCATGTTCTCAAAATGTACGTGCCTTAAGAAGTATGTTGGCCTCCACTGTTTCTTTATTTGGCTTTATAAAGAGGTGGTTAAGCACAGAAATTCTCTCTTTGTAAGGTGATCAAATCAGTGTCATATTTGTGTGCGGTAAGTAAAGTGAATATATATATATATATATATATATGTTTAATTCACGTACCAAAACATTTCTTCTCTCTATCTATTTAATAAAATCTGACAGTGCTACAAGGAGTTGATGAAGGCTCTGAATAAACTGAAAAATGTAGCTGTTGGGCGGTTGATTCATACATTGGATCAAGCAACTTTATACTTAATTTAAAAAAAAATCTTCTCTTGTTTTTTTTTTTTTTCATTAAAACAAATACTGTAAGTGAAAAACAGTGGGAAGATATGAGATGGAAGAAAACTCAAGGAGGATGATCTTTGTAAATTAACAAGTTCGCTTGTCATCTTTTTCAATAATTCTTGTGTAATTTGTACTACAGATGCCTTTATTTTTGCAATTTTTTTTTTTTTTTTTTTTTTTTTTTTTTTTTTTAGCATATGAATCTTTTTTTGTTCCTTGATCATGTGCAAACTGACTTGTGTTAATTAATGCACTCAGAAAAATATCATGTGGGTTATCTAAAGCTAGAATTTAGTGCTGTTGTGCAGACTTAATGCTGAATGAAGCATAGTTCATATACAGCTTGTAACTAATGTTGAAGGAAACCCCAAACCATAAAAATAAACCCATAACAGAAATGAATTTATAGGATTAGCTACATTCTTCTTTTTTCAAATACAATTTTTTTAAACTTAGAAAGCATCTCCAAAAATTAAAAATTTAATACTGTTTTATTAAAATGACACTTTACTTATTGTTAATATTAATAATAGCTGCAGTTCAAATGAACATTTAACGTTCATTAATAAATTTTACCATCTTTTTTTTGCCATTTAAAAATGCACTGATGTTTTAACAGATTCTCAACATAGCACTTGAAATAGCAGTATTTGGAGACAAATTGAAAAAAAAAAAAGTAAAGGTGGATTTCCTTATTAGGGAGGAACATGCATCATTCTTTTGTTTAACAACTTGCTTCAACAGACTTTATTTTTGGGGGTACATTTGTTTTGGAACTTCTTTTTAAATTTTCATATACTCAACAGATTCTGAAGGAAGTGGTCATGGAAGTGAAGATGCATCAAAGGACAGTGGAGAAGGTTCCTGTACTGAATCAGAAGAAAATATCTTGGAGGAGGAACCAGCAGAAGAGAAAGTAGAAGAGCAACAGCCAAAGAGCTCTGCTGAAGAAGTGCCGACAGCAGACAAAGAGATAATTAAAACTGAAAAGAAAGAGCAAGAAGATGAAGAAGAGAAGCCAAAAAAGAAGAAAGAAAAAGAGAAAGCAGCTGAAACTGATCCTGTGGCTGATGAACAAGCAAGTGAACCAAAAAAATGGAATTTGCGCAGGAACCGACCATTACTGGATTTTGTGTCAATGGAAGAACTAAATGATATGGATGATTATGATAGTGAAGATGACAACGACTGGCGGCCTACTCCTGAGAAGAAAAAAGGGAAAAATGCACTGCGAAAAGAAGGGAGTGATGGAGATAATGAGGATGATGAAGATGATGGGAGTGGAAGTGATGAGGATGACAATGATGAGGAAGGTAACGAAGAAGATAATAGCAGCACAGCTAGTGATGGAGGATCCAAGAAGAAGAAGAGTAAAGTTCTTAACAGAAATAATGCAGATGATGAGGAACTGACAAATGATAGCCTGGCTCTTTCACAAAGCAAGAGTAATGAGGTAGTGCAACCAACTTTCTATAATATATCTCTTGAGAAATGGAAACTACTCTCCAGTGCTGTTCTGTTAATTTAAAAAGTTAAAACTGATTGGCTGGCATTGTGTTTAGAGGAATAAACAAAGCAGCAAAATTGGGCTAAATAAGCACTCACTGCTTATTAAATAATCTTGCTCGGACCATTTGGCCGATCCATTGCCACTAAAGTCAATAGGCAGACTTCTCTTGGCTTTAATGGGAAGGGCAATTGAATTAATTCTGAAGCAAATACAAGGCATGACAGCAGAATATTTAGGTTAGATGTAGCACATCTATAATGTTATAAAAATTAGAAACATCACATTCTCATAATAGCTAAATAATAGGTTATTCTGTGTCCCAGCCCTTCTTTGTCACAGGCATCAAAGTCTGAATGCTAGAATTCTAAGCAAGTAAATATACGCAGTTGGGTTTAAAATCTAAGGACAATCATGACAATTTATGTTGGTTTTACATATAATGCATACAAGTGAAGTAATTCCCTACAGTGCTAAGAAGCATTTGTGCGCTTAATCATTACAGTAACTATTTTCTGTTTGTGGAATCTGACAATATTATGGTAAGTGTTTAATAATGAAACTTTCTTTTCCAGTACAGCTACAGTTGCCTTAGAGGTTGAGTCCTTGGAAGAATTAAAAGATAGTAGGTTGTCAGGATGGCTGACTTCTCCTCCAGTAGCAAAATCGTAAACAGAGTAAAAAAAAAAAAAAAAAATCTACATTCTATTTTCAGGAAACAATTGCAGCGTAAACGAAACATTTGCTAAATTATAGGGTATAACAATTTAAAGTATTGCTGCTTCATTTAGACTTGATTTTAATGAAGACTAAGCAAAATAATTGGAGGAATCAGTGGTCTCTGTTCAAGATTTTGATGTATATATTTATGCACGTATGTATAATTGCAAGCCAGATGTGCAGTTTTAATAACGAGATAATCAAATAATTGTTTAAAAATGCATAATTCTAGTGGTTTTTTTTTTTTTTAATTCTCTGTAGCTATCTACTTATAAATGAATGGTGATGCTTAGAAATGTTGTTTACTATATTAGATGCTGCTTGGAGTAGTAATAAGTAATAGCAATAAGAGAATGTTCTTCTTATTTTTAAACTTGTATGCCATTTACAGTCTGCAGACTTTCTCTTTCATTACACATCTAAGCTGGCCTGTGAGATGGTTTCACTTTGGCAGATATAAAGATCTTTCTATCCTGATCAGGCTACTGTTTATCTTTCATTATCAAGCTCTGTACAGCACAATTCTTGTGTTGTTACCTGTACTGTCTTTGCTCAGGAGCTGAAAGGGCATTGCCAGTATCAATAATGAGAACCACGTCATCATTGGGAGATGGATTATTTCCTTCCAGTGTTGTTTCCCGTATCAGAATGGAAATGAGATCTTAGATTGTTAGGGATATATTCTTCAAGATGTCCTAAATTTCCATTGACTTGGAAAAAGAAGCCTACTTCAGAGACTCAGAGCACTCTTAAAATGCATCTTTTGGGAACCTTCTTAGTATGTATATATTCCTCCTTGAATTTAAGACATCAATCAAAAGATAAAAATCAGAATTTGACATTTTGCAGTTCGCAGTAGAATTCCGTAACTGTGAAGCTGAATGCTGTTTGTGAACAGATCTTTTTGCTAAGAGTCTTTCAACAGTATCTATACACTGGATTCTAGAACTCATTTTTAGATTAATATTCAACTCTATTTTTAACAGCCAATACTGAGGGGAAAAAAAAAAAGCTGTATTGCAAAATCTCATTGTGTTGCAGAAGCTAAGTTCTTAGAAAAACAGATGTCTTAAGGCATAATTACTGCATGGAAGATTGTTCAGGTAGTTAACTCTGAATATTGTAGTATACATTGTATATATTCTAATCCTTAGTATGCATTCTTAAATTCTTTGCGGCCCAGTTCCTTTTTTTGATTGTTGTGCAGTTTTTATTTTATTTTTCTGCACTTAAAATATTTTGAGGCGTGGATAGAGAGTCTTCTAACCTGTGCTGTAGTGAAATGCTGTGTGCTTATGTACTGTATTGAGCAGAGGCAGACAAACATAGCTTTCTTTTGCAAGGTCAAGCATCATTAGAGAAATGATACTTTCATGTTTTTTATAAATTGCCACCACTTCATGGGATTCTCTTATTCCTAGTGAGGTGATTGTGATAATTACTGTTTTTTAAGATCTCATTAAGTTTATAAATAGGTAGGCATATAGCTTGAATGAAGTCCTTATTCTCACTTGGCTAGGGAACAGGAGTTGTTCGAGAAGTTCCTGCCTTTTTCTCCAAGTCTGTGTCCGTCTGCATGAAAAAAAATGTTATTCTTGTCTGCATTTGACTTGTTGGCTTTCTGGCTTTCTTCTTCACATAATGTAAATCAAGATACCTGTGAATCCTAACTCTAGATCCGGCCTTCCATCACTTTTTTGTTTTGCTCATGTTTGCGCATGTTTTTTTTTTTTTTTTTT